ATCACCGTATTACGTATTACCGTATTACCGTATAACCGTTCTACGAATAACCGTATTTCGTATTTCCATATTACGTATTACCGTAATACGTACTACGGTATTATTGTATTATTCATCACCACGTCTCACGTATTACCATATTACGTATTATGTATTACCGTATTACGTATCATTATATTACGTATTACTGTACTAGGTATTACCGTATCACGTATTATCACATTATTACGTATCACCGTATTACCACCTATCACGTATTGCCATATTACGTATCATGTATTACGTATTACTGTACTACGTATTACCGTATTACATATTACCGTATTACGTATTACTGTATTTATGTATTGCCGTATTACGTATTACCGTATTACTTTGAACGAGTCTTTGAAAAGAGATGTTCTGCAGGTCTCCAAAGTGACCACGAAGGCGTGCGAAGCCTCAACTCGAACTCGACGGGTTAATCTCGCAGGGACTGCCAAGGGAGGAACAATTGTTGATATTCCAGAAGAGCATCGTCCATGAAAATATCTATAAAATAGAGCCAGATCGCCAACTTTTCTACGGTGTTCCAGAGAAGTGAGTGAGTTTGTGAGCAAGGCATCACCCACGAGACGAATTACCCTTTTTTGAACAGAATCCAACTCAGGGTATGTTTGACTGCTGCACTCCAAATATGGGAACAGTATTCCTGTCGGATCTGTGCCTTATTGATCATAAGCAGCTGACTGGAAGTGAAATAGCTCCTGGTCCGAAACAGAAAACCAAGTTTTGGGGATGCACTTTTAGCAATTGATCTCACGTGATTTTCCCAAGAAAGATTATTGCTGATAGTAATACCAAGCATCGAAATGGATGTCTTCAAAGGTATGGTTATTCCTGACAAGCTTATGTTGGACACAGTGAGATCGGCTTTTCTAGAAAAAAGGCATGCTTGTGTTTTGTTTGCATTCAAATCACCAAGGTATTGGATCCCCATTCGAGAATTGTTACCAAGTCCATATTTATGTTGTCAACATTTCTTCCTCGTTCGTTTCTGATTTGCCTGGCTGGTATTGGAGCTCTGGAAGAGAAGGCGGTATGGAGGGTACTATTATCCGCGAAGCTGTGTACTGGACATGAAGTTGCTTTCAACAAATCGTTGATATGAAGTAGTATGGAGAGTTGGTGCTAGAATTGATACTTGCGGAACACCAGCTTTTATGATAAGAGAGTCAGATAAAACTCCGTCGACCACTACATGGAGAGACCTGTTTCAGAGAAAACTTGCTAGCAGAGAACATAGCTGGGCAGGCAAACCATAAGATGGAAGCTTGGCGAGGAGTCCGTGGTGCCAGATTCGATCGAATGCCTTGGATATCAAGTGCCATGGCTAAGGTTTCACCATATTTTTCAATAGATTGCTGCCATATATGTGAGACGTAAGCGAGCAGTTCACCAGTTGATCTCTGATGACGGAAGCCATATTGCCTATCGTTGATAATGAATGTTCCAGGTATTTCATGACCTCGATGTTGATAGCTTTCTCCATGATCCCTGAGGATTAGGTTATACTTTTATATGTACATTCAAAGTGTTTGAATAATCATATTTGGTTACTAAACATGGGAACGAAGAAAAAGGACATTTTCAAAGCACATATCGGTTACGAGTTTCGCACCTGTCAGTTGAAACAGATCAAACAAAGAAATGTCGGGTCTTTCAAAGAGACCGAGGGCCCGCGGTGATGTGTTGCTTTAACTGACTTTGCGTTAACTTTATGATCAGCAGGTTTCCAAATCTCGCATCAATGGTAACAAAGATACTTGAAAAACTCTATTTATTCTAAGTATTCTAGGACAGCCAGCGGCGGATTCATTGGTACGCTTAGTGCTTAGTGGAATATAATGCCGACCTGATTTTTCTTTGGCTAGGCTACGCTTAGTCGGCGGTCTTTGGACTGCTGGCTGGAGACTGCCCTGCACTTATGAGAATCAAAGAGTTCGAAACCGGTCTGTAGGTGTCTAGCGTAGACGGGCTTAATCGAAATCAATAGGCATTCAGTAAAGAATCACTTGTATCAGTAGGTATTCGTTTATACGATTCGATGCATAGATTTTGGGAGGATGTAATTCAATGTTCTGCGTGGTATAAGCCAGGAATGTAGTTGTTTTTCTCCCGAAATCTACCATTGTTGTTCATTTTATGTACATTGTGTAGAAATGACTTTGAGCTTCTTGTATATATTTATCTGCCTTTATATACCTACGGGCAATTGACAATGAACTTGAGTTCGGAAAACAGGTCAGAAAGTTTCTAATTGTGGAGGTTTATTATAATTTGACCAAATTTTATCATATATAATACCACAAGTGATAATATTTCGCCGGAAATATTCGGTGATTGTTACGACAGCTTGTTGCCTAGTAATTTCGTGAATGACATTGTTATCAAAACTACGAGCCTTAGGCATACAATCAATACTTTTCAAAATATTCGAGGAAAATGAAAATACAGAATTTCAGTTTTTCTTGATAACAACTCAGAAATGACTGAAGCTAGTCAAGATTTCTCGACGGATTCTGAATCATGAATGAATTTGCTGAAACTTTCTTAATTTAACCGACACTCTATCTCTCACAGTTACCGAGATCCCAATGGTGACATGAATTTGGGACACACGATACACCTATATACACCGTGTCCCAGCTAAAAAGTCCCCCCCCTGTAAAAAATCAACCGCGCGATCGAATGACTTGAAATTTGATCACCCAGTATATTTGATGATGCTCACTCGAAATATGCTATTGAATAAATCGTTGGTCACGCCGAAGTGCACCTAAACTTTCCTATTTGAATAGGGACACCCAGTATATTATTTCATATTCAAGTAGAGTTCATTATTACAAATTCAACAATGGCGGGTTTGATGGGATTTTTTCAAACGACTACGAAGATATGTCAAAAAATAGAACGATTCAATAAAAAAATTATATGATTAGATTTTATTAATATAACTCGATTGAAATCGAAGGAACAAAAATAATTAAAACCTAAACTGCTCAATATGTCGTCCATTCTGCTGCAAACATTTCCTAGCTCTTTAGATAACGTTCATTGTGACCCTATATAACAATCACGTTTCGATCAATTTGTGCGTATAAATTTGTGATTTCTTCCATATTCACAATTGGCGACTCATCAACCTGTTGTTTCGAGTAGCCCCACAAATAAAAATCAAGTGGGGTTAGGCCTGGCCTCCGAGCTGGCCAGTTGCTATGACTATCGAGACAAGATAATCCTTTACGGGTCTGTAGTTATGTGCAGGACACTATCATTCGATTATAATCGTGTTATATTAATAAAATGTCAATGAACAGAAAATATGGATTTCATCGAAGATTTTCCGTTAACGGGTTCGCCTTTCCAAGTTTCTGAAACAATTTTAATCCCTGTTTTCTAACACAAGGAATTTATTTTCTATGTTGATCATTTCGCCAAATGTCAAATATGTCACTAATGTCAGTAAAAGGCTACTGGGTGATTCTTAGTAGTTTCCAGATGAATGATGAATTCGCGAACCAAGTTTTCTTCTTTGCAGGAGAAATGATAAATGAAGGCGATTAATACACTAGTTGGTTAAATAACTATTAAATGAGAGTTTTTGAATATGCATATATTATCATTGATGATGTTTTTCTTTGTTAAAAATATTGTTTGCGAAATTTTGAAGTTAAGCTGAATATCGTTGCAACAAACAAAGTTTGAGAGTACCTAAAAAAATTTAAATCCAAGTTAATTGCAAAAATATGCTTTAATTTGAACAGAGATATGATCAACTGATGTTGTTAAGACCAACTCATGAAAGTGTTTGGGGTGAACATTTAAAAAAATAAAAATTGGGAAATAATTAACGAAAAAAATTGAAAAACTAAAAAAAGTCTTAGGAGGACATGTTTTGGTATTTAGGCATAACTTTCAATTGTAAAAAACTTTTTTTGTTAACATTTTGCTGAATTTTCTGAAATAAGGGTTCTTATTTACTCTTGAGCAATTTTTATATTTTTTGATCTACCCTGTATGCTGTTTGACTTGAAACAATGATGGAAGTAAGATATGGTGCGCGCATTCGGCCATTATTACGTATAGAAAATTTCAGAAAACTCACTCGACCGGCCTTCTATGATCTACGTCACAACGAGCGAGACGTTGGTTCTACATTTTCCCGCTAGATGGTGATGCTGCTATATTGCTGCTGTGACAAGTGGAAATAAAAAGGCAAATGCCATTTTAGGTTCGCGGAACATATGTAACAGTGGGATTAAAACTCTGAATTCGAAAAATCTGCGACAATTTCAAAACTGACAGAAGTCATAATTGTGCAATGTCGCCATCTATTAGAAGATCAACGGAACCATTGCTCTCGCGCTGCTCTCGAGAGGTCGAGTAAAATTTCTGATACAAAAGCGCATCAGTAATTACACCATATCTTACTTCCATCATTCTTGAAACCATTCTGAGTGCAACTAAAATGATAAATGATCACCGAACATTCACCAACTTTTGGCACTATCTGTATTTTGATTGTGCAATTCATTAAAAAGATTCCCATATGTTGTCTTTGAACATGTGAACAAACACAAACCTGAAAAATTTATTCATATTCTCAAGTCCTACTTCTATGGTCTGAAACTTCAAAAACTACATTTCAGGGAACGTGGGTAGAAATGGTAAAATGGTAGCACGACTAGCACGTAATTATGGGTAGCCATTTAGTCAGAGCCTGTACTGTGCTTCCACCTTCCACTTTCGCGCAAAAGTATCGGTAGCGGGAATACCACACGTAACTGTAGTCGCACCGGCAAGCATATCCATATCAAGCATTTGTCTTTGGCGTAACTTTTGCGTCTACCATCGCCTACGGATCACCTACGGATCGCTTATCAATCCTATACCTAATTGATGTGGAAATGAATTCTTGTAGAGCGCATGAGTGAGTCACATGCCTTGTTAGCCTCGCACAGGGTTCCGTCTTGACGATCATCGACTCGATCTCTGTTAAAAGTCTGTTCCGAGTGTTCCGCAGCCATTGTGCTTTGGTGTTTATAGTTTTGTCGGTAGGCCGATTCGAAGTTTTAGAGCTGTTTCCCGGGGTAAGTGAAAGTGGGAAAAGCTAGGTGTTTAATTCAGTTCTACAATTATTATTATCATTTTTTGTCATGCAGCAACAAATCACCAGGTCCAGATACCTAATGAAAGCTTTTGCTGCTTTTGTATCAAGAGAATTCTAAACCATGTTTCGTCAGATTCTGATGTTTTGAATTTTGGTACAGTTCTATATGAGTAGGGTAGTTTGCCAATTATCATGTTGATAATGAACCAGATTAATATTCGAAATGTAGGATTTTTCTGAATATTGTGTTGTTTGTTCACTGCTTGTATGTTTATCATGTGCTTGATTCTTGATTCCGTACCGGTAAAACTGAAAATAAAAAATAATGACTGATGAGTGGTGACTGCGTTGCGTTGCACAACGCAAAGAGGCACGATGATGTATTGATTTTTTTAATTATTGGTTTTATTCAATAATGAAGTGTACCACTAAGGGCACTGAGTAATCAGTTTCAATTAAGTACAGATACCTACCTACTTTGTGCATATAAAAATTCCTACCTATTGATAATCCAATTGAATTATTAATAGGTACGTTACGCGTGTTTATGTAAAAGTTTATACTCTTATTTCTGATATACCTAGTGGCGTAGTATCCATATTATTATTGAGTCAAAATCGTGAACTGCTTTTTTCTGTAGGACATCTTCATTTTGGAATCTCTAAACAAATAATAGGTATGGTTACTTCTATTAATACGCCTAGGTCTATAAAAGCAAGTAACGCCCGAAATTCATACATTTTATGCACAACCGGTAGGTATACCTATTTGATTTTTCATTGTTAATTGTGAATATTACCTACCTATGTACATACCTACCTATTTACTTCTCAAGCAGGATAGATAAATGAATCATGGCTGCAGTCATGCAGCGAGGAATACCTATCAAGAGAACTGTTTTATTAGATAATGAACCATCACAATCAAGCATTGATGTCATGAATTACCTATAAACCTATACGGGAATGCTTATTATGATTTACCTATACACGCCCGGCGTTAGAGTAGGTAGTTCCCGGACGCTAAAAATCCACTTTACACCCGCAAACCGGGCGATAAAGTGTTACTTTACGACCGGTCGTAATAGATAATAGATGTTAGTATGTGAATGAACTAATTTTTTTATGAGATGTGAACAAATGTGTTCTAAATGGAGTCTCTGAAAAATGGAAATATTTTTGGTAAAATGGGATGGTGGGCTATGTCGTTCTTTGATACGGGAATGCTTATTATGAGTTACCTATACACGCCGGGAGATAAAGTGGTTAGTTCCCGGACGCTAAAAATCCACTTTACACCCGCAAACCGGGCGATAAAGTGTTACTTTACGACCGGTCGTAATAGATAATAGATGTTAGTATGTGAATGAACACATTTTATATGAGATGTGAACTCGGATGTGAACAAATGTGTTCTAAATGGAGTCTCTGAAAAATGGAAATATTCATGGTAAAATGGGATGGTGGGCTATGTCGTTCTTTGATAATAAAGTGGAAAATCATTTTTATAAAGATTTAGAAGTAAGGTATGACTTTTTTCCCGAAAAAAATTCTGCTTCGGCTTCGAATCAAATGTGAATGTCAAAATTTGATGTTGGTGGCGGTCCATTCTAAACATCCGTTCGCATCCGTTTAGATTAGTCAATAACCTAGTCTGTTACTATTTTGTCTGCTATGAGATTCTTCAATAAATACTATATTCCGAACGTCTCCCGGAATTGCCCCCTTGTTATTATTTCTTATCCCCTGGATACCACTATCATTCTCGATAATACGTAATCCTAACTGAATGTTGAAACACCGAGTGATATACCGGTTGGCTACGGAAGTATTGCCTACGGAATATCTCAGTTATTGTATGAAGTAGGTTTGTGAAATTTGAAGCGTCGATATAATGACATAAGAGCACAGTTTAAGGAATGGCTATCCTTAAACTGTGATAAGAGCTAGAATTTGAGCATATTGACATGTCGAAGTTAACTTCCGGTCTGACCGGAAGTAACATCAACTTTTTTATTTTAAATGGAAACCCTATTTTTTTTCTTTTTGCTTTATTCAGCATCCAATTCCCTTTCTAATGACATATCACAAGTTGGTATTTTACCAGAAACTAGATCAGGAAAAAAATATTATTGAAATTCACCGAGTAGGCCGTGGAAGCAAAATGAAAGCCAAAAATTGAAAAGTTGGCTATGGAAACTATACGTCACTTGATAACAGTTGCTACTACTGTGATATTTTATTTTCATTCGTCGGCGTTATAAAAAGCCGCCAAAAAAAATATTGGAAAAATTGGGAAAAAAACAATACTCTGTAGGTCCATAACTTAAATAGGAACATACAACTTTTTCTTGCCTGTACTATTCAGCATAACCATTCCTTTCTAATGATATAATAGAAAGTCATTTTTTGAAATGAAATACCACATTATTTTTAATTTTATTTTTGCGTATGGCGATAATCTGTTTTGTTATTTGAAGAATAATAATTGGTTTTTTGGTATTTCATTTCAAAAAATTACTTTCTATTATATCATTAAGAAGGAATGGTTATGCTGAATAGTACAGGCAAGAAAAAGTTGTATGTTCCTATTTAAGTTATGGACCTACAGAGTATTGTTTTTTTCCCAATTTTTCCAATATTTTTTTTGGCACCGACGAATGAAAATAAAATATCACAGTAGTAGCAACTGTTATTAAGTGACGTATGGTTTCCATAGCCAACTTTTCAATTTTTGGCTTTCATTTTGCTTCCACGGCCTACTCGGTGAATTTCAATAATAATTTTTTTCTGATCTAGTTTCTGGTTAGATACCAACTTGTGATATGTCATTAGAAAGGGAATCAAATGCTCAATAAAGCGAAAAGAAAAAAAATAGGGTTCCCATTTAAAATAAGAAAGTTGATATATCGAAGATTGGAACCTTTGGCACGATAATACACTACACTGTTTTACCACTAACCAAACCGATTTTTTAACGCCTCGACACGTGTTTCGCTAACTATGTTAGCATCTTCAGGAGAAGATTAAAACAGTTTTAATCTTCTCCTGAAGATGCTAACATAGTTAGCGAAACACGTGTCGAGGCGTTAAAAAATCGGTTTGGTTAGTGGTAAAACAGTGTAGTGTGGAAGAAAGTTGATGTTACTTCCGGTCAGACCGGAAGTTAACTTCGACATGACAATATGCTCAAATTCTAGCTCTTATGTCATTATATCGACGCTCCGAATTTCACAAACCTACTTCATTCAATAACTGAGATATTCCGTAGGCAATACTTCCGTAGCCACCCGGTATATAAATTCACCGTAGGAAAAACATTAAAGTTCAATGCAAACATTATCTTCTATTTCACTTCAACATATGTTACATATGTAAGTGCATCTTTCTTCGAAGTTAGTCAAACAACTCTTTATCAGAACTCGTTTCTCTATAGAGCGACAAAGGTTAGAAATTGTTTGTCAAAGGAAGTATTCCCAAGAACATACAGAGTGACCCATTTGAAAGCAGGCCATCCTCATAAATTCTTTATTTTTTCTTTAGCGATTTCCACAATTTTTTTCTTATTGATACAGAGGGGATGAAGGTGTATTTTGGGTCCGAGCGGCATCCATTTTTTTGAAAAACCAAGGCCTACCAGATCACATTCAGAGGCTGAAATATCCAGAATTCATATTGCCGACTTTTTACAAAAAATCAGCGTGCGCCACTGGAAACAGCGTTCTCTGAAATAGATCTCTACCATGTTCCAACTAAAAATATTCAACAATAACGAATCAACAGTGTGTCTCATTTCAAACGGCCCACTTAAAATCTCAGGTATTAGTCGTGCGATCTTTACCAAATTGAGACCGGTATGAATGACCATCAATATGATCAGTTCTTCAGAGACATACATCCTTTTGTACAGTGTGTCCCACTTACCATGCTCACCATGGGTATCTTTTCAACGGTGAGAGATACGAGGTCGGTTAAATGACTCCAAATGTGGAGTTTGTCAAGGCCAACTATAATGTGAAAAAATATTTTGATGAATTCTATTCGTTTTTGTTTTATACGCAAAAAACAGATTTTGATCATTTTCATGTCTCCTCCGTAACTTCTTTATTTATGAAAATATTATTATTCAAATAGGAATCCAACATTCTCATGGCAGTTTTTCAAAGTGATTTCGAAAAAAATATGAAATTTATACCAACTCTTCTAGAATTTGAGATATCAGCACCAACTTTAGTTTTTCAAATGTAGGTCATATCTCACTATGACTTACTTGCAAATAACTTTTTTTTCTCTTACAGATGATATGTCACAGTAATAGTTTTATGTTGACAACAACGGAGCTATCGTCATTTATACAAAAACAAAAAATTGTTTGGAAGCCGCCATCTTGAATTTATAAATTTTAACAAAAAAATCATGATCTGTGGCCTCAAAAACCCCCACTCACCAATTTTGAATGGAATCGGACCAAATCTTGTCCGCCATCTTGGAGCAGCCATTTTCTATTTCAAAAAAAATTCCATAATGTATTGTCACCGGAATCATGAACACCTGCCAAATTTCAAGTTGATCGGAGCTATGAAATTTTTGTTGAAATAAAAAAAAAATGGCTGCTCCAAGATGGCGGACAAGATTTGGTCCGATTCCATTCGAAATTGGTAAGTGGGGGTTTTTGAGGTCGCAGATCATGATTTTTTGTTAAAATTCATAAATTCAAGATGGCGGCTTCCAAATAATTTTTTGTTTTTGCCTAAATGACGATAACTCCGTTGTTATCAACACAAAACTATTACTGCGACATATCATCTGTGAGAGAAAAAAAAGTTATTTGTAACTAAGTCATAGTGAGCTATGACCTACATTTGAAAAACTGAAGTTGGTGCTGATATCTCAAATTCTAGAAGAGTTGGTATAAATTTCATATTTTTTTCGAAATCACTTTGAAAAACTGCCATGAGAATGTGAAATTTCTATTTGAATA